GGTGCGAAGCCATAGCTAGGAGGAATCGATGAGGTACTCACCATGGGTGATGGATTTTTGCTGCAAGGAAGCTCAAGGAGTAGGTTGTTAGCATCGCTGCCGCCTCCTCGCAATAGTAGGAGGCAACCTTGCTCTGATACGCCTGTGCCTCTTCCTTGCTTTCCCAATGGTTGGCCTTCCTTTTCCCTTCCTGTTGTGGCTCCTGCACCGTCGACCATGAATGAGGACTAGAGTTGACCTATGGGTGCTACCAAATGATTTAGTCATGAATCGATGTGGATTAGGATCGTCATCTGCTGAGAGTGCTACCAAATGGAGCCTATATAATGTCATCATGTACAAGGCCCTACTTGTAGTAGTTAGAAGATATGGTTGGACCTTATGGGCTTCTATACCGCTAACACACCTCTGTAGCGCCCTAGCCGCTAACGCCATCCACGCGTGCCTAGACACGAATCGAGGGGTCAAGCCCTTGCAATTCTCCACAATCGACCAATGGCCCAAATCTGCATGCCCAAGGCCTCACGCTAGCGAATGGCACAGATTGAAGCCAAAAAAGGAGTGACCACTCAGCATAGAGCATGGCGCGCGGCACCTCATTAACTCCACGACTGGATATGGGAATCGAGGAATATTAAGAGATTCCGCACTCACGGGCGGACCGCGTGCAATAACTCACCTCACCCACTGACAAAGGGCCTCACGATGGGCCCAAGGCTTCCTCTGGACCACGACACTAGAGGTTCGAATGCCAGCTGGTGGATGGCACGTGGTCGTATCTGTACTAGGGGAATAAGCCAGCGATGGGCCCACTAGCGGTCTTTAGCATGGGCATGCAGAGCCCTGGCCGTCATGTAAAATGTAGCCTAAGCCAGCAAAGCTACTCCTGAACCCCTCAACAAGGGTGGGATACCGAGCGACACGATGGCACAGAGCCAAGTTGTTTGGCCCACGACAAGCAAGGAAAGCGGGGCACCCCACATGAGCTTGGTTTAGTAGACCCCCAAGGGATTGATCGGGCTCCTACTCAAGCTCGATCGGTTTGAGCTCATCGAGGGCGTTACCTGGCCAAGAGACCATGATGGAGCTCCTCACGTCCTTAGGCAAACAATCGAACCCGAAATGGGGGTCCCTCCTTGGCCAAACTAACGGTCGACAAAAACGAAAGATCCCCTCGCCACCATCCTAAAGATGGCTCAGGAGGCTACGAGGGGCTCGAGGACTCCTGTTGAGTACCTTATAGAGGGACTACCTAAACCTCCGGATTAGTGCCATGACATTGTGATTAACCCCTAACTAATTCTCCTAATCAGCCAGGGCCTTGGGGGGATACACCCATCGTGTGCACTCGCACGCACACTTCGGACTACTATGAAAGCCTACTGCGCTTAAGATAGGCCACTTCTAGGAAAGGCCCCGATCTTAGGGAAACAGGCTTGGGTAGGCCTACGGCCAAGTCCCTCGCACCCGTGTGCTTGGCGGGCAGAGCCGCAGGGCACCAGACCTTGTCGAAGCTATGTCGCCTCAACCCCGTGAGGCTGTGTCGGCCAGTCATGGCTCAGGGTCAAGCCCAGGGAGTGAGGCAACACAATAAGCTCACGCGCACGGCCACCACATGAGGAGGTACAACCCTGTCTGCCAGTCTCTCTTTGCATCCAACCGCACCCTTAGTGTACATGAACGCCTCGAGGAGGATGATCTCGGTGAGGCACAATGACAACTCCACCTTGATGGTCACTCCAGTGCTCCCTCTGAGAAGATGTCATAAGCGATTCAAAGATTGTCGGCCCACGACCATCTCTTAGGACGGAGCCGTGACGCCAAACAACATGAAGAACACGAAACCCTAGAACTCCTTGGGCGCCAAGGAGCATCCAGATACACATCTCCTGGTACTCCCCTGGCCCATCGGTATATAAGGTTGGGAAGGGGCACCTGTGGAGCGGATGAACATAGATCAATCCAAGAAACCCAAGATTATCTAGCTAGCGCTCTCCTACCATCTCTCTCTCCCCTATTGTTAGAACTCGATTGAGCATTTTAACATGAAGAAACATATGCTAGACATAGGGCTTAGACGACCAAACTAGGATAGATCTTTTGTGTCTTGAGTGCTAAACCCCCAAAATGAAACACATCGATCCACTAATCAGATCACTAATTACTGATCGTGGTATAGAAACCCACGACAATTACAAGCTCGATCTGTCCTCCCTAGGAGCGTATATGATGGTTAGGGTTCGTGTGAGAGGGGGAGGGAAACAAGAGACAACACCCACGGATAGAATGAAGGGGGGCGGCGCGCGGCCTTAATTCCTAGATCTCGGTGTTGAGTCGGGCCACGCCAAGGTCTACCGCTCGGCATTAAATGGCCTGAAGCCAAGGTCCGCAGGGCCCATAGCCACGCCGAATCCTATGTGGCAACCGAGACCGGCGTCCTCGTTAACATCGCAGGGTGTCGGTGTGGCATGATAGCACGCCGAGGCACGTACATTGGTGTAGCGTTGTATGACACCCAGCTTCGGGTCCATTTTGTTAGAAAAGATTTGGCGGGAAGTCTATTTATAAAAAAAAGTTTTTGAAAAGACTGAATATATAAAAAAAATCAGTAGCCATGCACATGTGCATTGAGAAGCTACACCGCACTGCACGCAACCAATCCTCATGGGCTCCTGGTCCGTCTCGTGTTTTTTAATTATTTTTTATTTAATATTTTAATAATAATTGCTACTAACAAATCTGACTTTTTGGTCGCGCCAGCACGGTTGGCGCTATAAAATTACGTTGTCACGCCACATGCATTGGTGTGGCAAGATGTTCCGAATGACGTTTCCTACATGGAAAACCTTATCATACTACTCCCGCTAGAGTGACAGTATTGTTTTGTCGCGCCATCGGGAGTGGGGTGATAAAATTCAACCTTAGAAATGCTTAAATTATTGTTTTGATATCCGATGAAAAGATGATTTTTATATGAAAATTGTAGATCTCGATGAGAAATACAACTCTCTAGTTTATAAAATTTCCGCAGCATAATAATCGCGTACTAGCAGCCTGTTCGTTTGGCTGTGGTTTGTCGTAAACGATCGTAATTTTTTAGCCGGAACAATATTTTTCTCTCACACAAACTAGCCAGCAGTACTTCTTCACAAACCAGCAATGATGCGAACCAGCCAAACGAACAGGCTGTAGGCTTGTCACGTTAGAAAAACAATCTCTTTTGTATGGTGTCAAATGAATGTATACTTTTTATATCAAAGTTGTAGCTCTCAATGAGATGTACAGCTTTATAATTTTGAGTTTTTATATTTGAGATATTTAAGATGCTTGAGAAAATAATATATAGTTTCAGGAGCATATTAAACGTGCACAGGCGCTTGTTGCCTCATAAAAGTTATATTTTTTCTGAAAGGTGTCAAATGAAGATACTTTTTATATCAAAGTTGGAGCTGTCGTGATGAGATCTTCAAGTTTTAAGTTTTTAAGTTTTTCTTTGAGGTCGTTTAAATGCTCAAGAAAGTAATACAAAATTTAAGGGGCATAATTGAAATTTGGGTTGTCCGAATCATAGTTAGGTGGCGCCCATTCCGCAGTGGGCGGCCGTCACACTGCCGCTTCAATAGCAGGCCGGTAATAATCTGAAAGTGAATCATCAACCACCCGTTTAGAAGCCGCTCATGCAACAACGTTTAAGTCAATCCTTCCGCCCATATTATTTAGTCTAGTTGTTGGAGGAAATACACCTTGAACACATTACATATACTAGCTGAGCTTTGTCCCTAATCGTGACTAGTTGTTATTCGTTTGGAGCGATTGTCCCCCAGCCGGCAATGCCAGTTTATTTTTTTAGGAAAAAAATCACTTTCAGCGACTGCCGGAATCATTCATAGAACGGCTACAGATAACCGAGTTATTATGAAAAGGAAATGCTACCGGAAGTAGCCGTGCAAACTGCACAGGTGCAGTTATAGATGTCAATGGGCCCCCGTCCCCGAATCCCCGCCGAGAATTCACCCATTAGAGAACGGGGATGGTATGAATTCTACCCCCACGGGAGATTAAATGGAGCTGAAGTTATCCCCGTCGGGGATCACAGGGAAGGGGATGGTATGCAGGCCCCCGTCCCCGCTCTCCATGGGGATCCGATTCCAAAGGCCTATATACTGGCAAGGCTCAATACATGTGATATATAAGCAATGTTGCAACCCTAGCTCCTCACTTCCTCAGTCCCCAACTCACCCTCTCGCAGCTGCCAGCCACCGCTCACGCTGCCTCCACCCTCTCTGGTCAATCCAAGCGACCACGCCGCACGGAGACAGGGCGAGGCTAGTAGGCACATGCGGGCGGCCGAGCGTGTGTGCAGATGCTTACGCTGCACTGCTACAGCGAGCAACCATGCGGGAGTGGCGGACTGTCGGGGCTACAGATCTGCAGAGCTAGGAGCAGCACCGGTAAGCATTCGGCGGCTACCCTCTATTTCTAGCTATTGGTTTATCTTCTCAGTGATACATTTTTTTATTGCCTTCCTTCTCACGTCCTAGATTGGAGCTTGTTGCTGGAAGGCATGGCCGATTTGGAGCTTGTTCGGAAGGCATCTGATGCACAGTCTGATTGATGCTTTGAAGCATGGCCGTGAGCCCGTGAGGACTTTATGTCCGGATTGGAACCCGTTGGTTGTAGATGTGTTGATTTATAAATTTGTGATGTCTTTGTATAATAGATTTGTCCGTATATCATTAACGCGAATTTATGAATACATAAATGGTTGATATCAAAATGAATTATCATGAACTCACGTGGGTACGGGGATACCATGGAGACTAATTTCCCGCACGGAGAGGAGGATGGGGAGAAAGTCTCCCCGTGACCCTTGACGGGGACGGAGATGGGGATGGGGATGGATAACTTTCTTCCCCACGGGGACGGGGATGGGGAGGCACTCCCCGTGACATCTGGAGGTGCAGTGAGATGCTGCACAGCACTGCAGGCAACCAAACCTCATGGCCGCCGCACCCTGCACGCTCAACATGGCCTCCGTCCTCCTCCTGCCGCTTCTCTTCTCCGTTCACTGGCCGGGCCGCAGCCACGCTTTCAGCCTCATGAACTACCTCTGCAACAACGGCAGCTCCTACGCCCTTAACTCCACCTACCGCTCCAACGTCGTCGCGCTCCTCGGGTCCCTGTCCACCAACGCGTCCAGCTCCGCCGTAGGCTTCGCCACCGCCACGCTCGGCTACGCCCCAGACCAGACGTGGGGCCTCGCGCTCTGCCGCGGCGACGTCAACGGCAGCGGGTGCGCGTCCTGCCTCGCGCTCGCGCCGGACATCGCCTTCGGCGACTGCAGGGGCGTCAGGGACGTGTCCATCTACTACGACCGCTGCCTCCTCCGGTACTCGGACACGGACTTCCTGGCCAGCCCGGGCGATGCAGCGGAGCTGGTGCAGTACGGCACCAACCTGCAGGTGAACGTCGCCGCCGACCCCGGTCGGTTCGTGGGGCTCGCGGCCGACCTCGTGGCGGCGCTGTCCGCCTGGGCGGCGCGGAACTCGACGGCGAGATACGCCGCCGGGGTGGTGACCTCCGCCAAAGGGTTCACGACCACGGACAGCAACTTGGTGCACAACATCTACGGGCTGGTGCAGTGCACGCCCAACCTGGCTCCCGAGGCGTGCCTGGCGTGCCTCGGCAGGCTCAAGGACGAGATGCCGGCCGTGTTCAACGGCTCAACCGGCGGCCAGTTCAACGAGGTCTGGTGCAACCTGAGATTCGAGGTGTTCCTCTTCTATGACAGCAGCCCGGTAGTGAAGCTTGTTGCACCTCCGTTGACGCCGGCTCCGCCGGGTGCAGCAGTCCACGACGATGGTAGGCTCTTTGCATAATTTCAGATAGAAAAACAGAAACCCAAATCATCATAGTAATTGTAGCAAGTATCTATGAATCGTCCACAAATATAAATTATGAGATTATCGTTAACAGTTGCAACTACTGTAGTCCTCGAGCTTTTGGCCTTCTTTGGGAGATAGCTCCACTCCTGGGATTCTCTTGCTCTGCTCCTTGATTCTCTGACCCTACTTGATTATGGTGGAGGAGCAAGGCAGGGAGCAGGTAGAATTGATTGTAGAGTGATTTAGTAGAGAATAGTTTTTTTAAAACTCCCACCTCCTAGTGTAAACGGAAAAGTGATTCTTACCAGCTCCCCGCCTAAGTCACTCTGCCAAACATCTCCTTAATCGCTCTAATTATCTGCATTGTATGTATTGTATCTGCAGCAAAGAGGACAAGGGGAACAGGATATGCAGCAACAGTAGTGGCCATTGTTCTCGGGGTCCTAGTTGTCCTCCTCCTGTCCACGTTCATGATCTACCTCTGGAGAAAAGCACAAGTAAAACGATGTGAGTTGTGCGCCCTGTTCCTGATCAAGTTCTGCATATATCTTTGATATTTCAGAAAACATAAATACTAAGAATAAAAAGAAAAGGATGGTAGAAATGAGTCTCAAAGCAAAAAGAACATGGCGAAAATTCATAACTTTAATGGTGAACGATGAGAATAAGCACGTGTATGCAGATGCGGAGGAAGCTGACGATTCCGGGTCGCTCCTCTTTGACCTGGCAACACTGAGAAGGGCAACTGCAAATTTTGCCGAAGAGAATAAGCTTGGACATGGAGGCTTTGGCGCGGTATACAAGGTACCATTGCTAGAGAGTTGTGTAGAGACACATCTCTCTGGGGACATTCAGAAATATGCAGCACATCATAAACAAGGTGCCTAAAATTTCAGGGTTTCTTGCCTGATGGACGACAAATCGCCGTGAAGAGGCTGGACAAGGCTTCAGGGCAAGGCCTGAAAGAGCTGAGGAACGAACTGGTGCTGGTCGCCAAGCTTCGGCACAACAATCTTGCAAAGCTTCTCGGCGTTTGCTTGAAGGGACAGGAGAAGCTGCTTGTCTACGAGTACATGCTTAATCGAAGCCTGGACACCTTCCTTTTTGGTACAGAACACTGCCACTGTCCTTCCTGTGCTCGACCTCAGACATGCCAATTAAGAATCTTTGACTCCTCAAGATGCGAGTATATCACTAATGTCTGGCCTTCTTGCAGTCCCTGAGAAGCGTCCATTGTTAGACTGGGAGACAAGGTACCGCATACTCTCTGGAACAGCACGAGGCCTGCTATACCTCCACGAGGATTCACAGATCAGAATCGTCCACCGCGACCTGAAGGCGAGCAACATCCTGCTGGACGCCGACATGAACCCGAAGATCTCCGATTTCGGGCTGGCAAAACTCTTCAGCGCCGACAAGACTACCACCATCACGAGCATAGTTGTCGGAACGCTGTATGTAATTGAACGATCAGTCCACATGCCCACATTGCTATGTGCTGTGTTCTTCCTAGCTTCTTCGTCGAGCAGTAGTTCCGCGATCTGAAAACTCAGCTGTTTTCATGCTTGGCAGAGGATACATGGCGCCAGAGTATGCAGTTCTTGGGCAACTGTCGGTGAAGCTTGACGTTTACAGCCTCGGCGTCCTCATCCTGGAGATCGTCACTGGACGTAAGAACACCGACATGTTCGAATCAGCAGCAGGAGAATCCATCATTCTGCTGAGCTACGTGAGTTGTAGTCCTAGTCCTACCTATTGTTCTTTTAATTTTCACACACCGCTGGGTCACTGGGTCAGAAACACCGTCGTATACTTGTACTTTTTTTTAGAATTATACAGTACAAACGCAGATGCCGATCACGCACACTCGTAAATGATATTGTCTTGTGTTACTAGGTGTGGGATCACTGGGTCAGAGGCACCGCGCTGGAGGCCGTGGACCCGTTCTTGGATTGCCAGTCCCCGGAGACGGAGAGCGAGGTGATGAAATGCATCCATCTGGGGCTGCTCTGCGTGCAGGAGAACCCGGCAGACCGCCCGACCATGCTCGACGTCCTCGTCATGCTGCACGGCCAATCGTCAGGCGGCTTTGCGGCACCGTCGAAGCCGGCCTTCGCCTTTGCGTACGGGGAGACGATGAGCTCTGATGAGCGGCGTAACGTGTCTTTGAACGGGATGTCCGTGTCGGAGTTCCAGCCAAGATAGATGGACAGAATCACGGAAGACACGATAGGAATATAGGGATGCAAGCAGGTGTGCCAGCGGAACTTGCACGTCCTGCGGTAGCCTGCATTGTAGAGTGAATGGACCCAGGATCCATACAATTTAATTCCTAGCGCATACTCTGCGTGCCGCAGTGTCCTGTTGGACTTTGCAGAAACATATAATGTACAGTATAATATAGAGTACCACCAGACTACATTGATTTACCACCAGACTATGCTGACCCTACAGACTACGCGTACCTGAGACGGAGAATTCCTACAGGACGTGTCGCTGTCTGATGATTTATGCAAATGCGGAACAGATGAGCACACGTAGTTTAACGGAAGTCAGCAGAAGAAATATAAGGAAGGTCCACATCCATGTTGTTTCCACCGGTACATAGTGTGTCTACCTTCATTAAAATTTTCCTAGCCTACAGATGTTAACAGTAATCGCACCAGCAAGTCAATGAAATGGACACATAATTACATACAAGCATGAAAAGGTCATCATCCTCCAGAAGCACTAGTAGTATAATATGAACTGGGATCTCGATTAGTAGCATCAGGAAGTCACACCAAACAAAGGAAGGTCATCATCCTCCAGAAGCACAAGTAGAATAATATGAACTGGGATCTCGATTAGTAGCATCAGGAAGTCACACCAAACAAAGGGTGTATACATGCTGGGGACATCCAAGATTACGTTTCAGAGTCAGACAACCTCCAGAATCAAGAAGATACTTCAGAAATGGAACCGCCTAAAAACACTATGCTCTAGTCTATTACAAGTGCGGGAAAAAAAAGACCCAGAAAGCATGCAAATAATAATCAGTGCACACAAACGCTTCCGAAGTTCAGGAAATACTATTTCCCTCGCCGTTTTACTTGTCTCCATTGGCATCATCCTCGCTATCCCTTTTCCTCTTATTTGGCAGGGAAGATCCAGCTTTGCTTTCGATGTCTTCTGCGTCTGCATCAAGTTCGTCATCCTCAGCTTCACCGTCTTCGTCTTCGGCCTGAAAATGGTCAAATGTATTATTATTGCAGAATAAGGTTCACCAAATTCTTTGCCACAAAATCAAGTTTCAATCGGTAAACTAGACTGCTCAATCAAACTTGTTTAGGTCACTCAGGACGATTGCCGGGAAGTCCAAGAATGAGCTAGATAGAATGGTTTGTGCGGGGGTACGACTCCGGATACCCACGACAAACTACATGGGCTGCGCTCTAATAGGCGGTTCAGCCCACAAAACGAAAAACTACGGTGCACGACACTGCTCGACGTGCACCGCAAGACATCAAGGGCGATATATCCTGAAGATACTACGAGATCTGGTAGGATACGTTCGATCCCATGATTCATGTAATCTGTTATTACTTACCGGTTATCTCCTAAATCTAACCGACTTGTAACCCTGCCCCTCAGACTATATAAGGCGGGCAGGGACCCCCTCAAAACACACGTAAGATCATACGAAGCCAATACAATCCAACAGACCACAGGAGTAGGGTATTATGTCGCGCTGACGGCCCGAACCTGTCTAACTCTTGTGTCTCTGTTGCCTTCTTGTTCTCGATTACACGCATCTCTGCCGATCAATTTACCTTCGTGGGATACCCCTCTGGTTCAGCGCCGATCACCCTCCGATTCTGATCCATCGGAGGCCGATCAGGAAACTCCAGGGGTTACGGCCCCACCCTTTGGGCTCACCAACATCACCGCCTCTTACGAAGATGCCCTAAGGGGCAAATTTGCCGATCAGGTGGGGAGACATCCATCCTCTCGCCGACCAGCTCTCGCCGACTGCCAACATGCTGCACATCGGCCGACGCCCTGAAGCATCCCTCCACACCATCCTGGAGGAGAATCCAGACTCTGAGTCCTAGAGCTCCACAGAGACTGTCGCCGAAACCGCCGCCGTCCAATCTCCTTTCCCACTCTTTCGAGGAGGTGGGATTTTTAACGTCAGTGTTGACAGCCCTCCGCGGGATGGAGAAACCGACGAGGACCGCGCCGCTCATGTCAACAGGAACTCCAACCGTGTGCAGCACCGAGCAAATGAGGCCGCCATTGTGCTAGCAGAGGCTGCTCGCAACGAATAGCTCGACTCGCAAGGGAGGCCACACCCACTCCAACGCAACCTCGACGACGAATTTATCCGTGTTGACGACCACGACGTCTACAAGACCCCAAGCGCCAACTTGGCTGTGGCTGCCAATGAGCTCGCCCGGCTCGAGCAAACGCCAGAAGTCGCCAAGGTCACCGCAATGCTCAAAGCTGCACACTGCCAGGTCAACGAGATCCGCCAGGATCAGAGACCTTCCTACTCGACGAGCTCAATTCGTCGATCCGCTGTGCCATGATCCAATCGCCGCCCCAGCAGAAGCCATTTCGCCGACCAGCATCGTGATGATGGACAACCCCTCTAGGGGGAGCTAGGGGGAACCGCATCGACTACCCTTGCCAACACGACCAAGAAGTCGACCAAGACGTCCGAGCGCACATCAACAACCTCCAGCACGCGCGACGTCACATCGACGGGCGCCGTTTCTCGTGCCATGAAGAAGAGGTACGCCGGCGTCAAGAATACGAGCAAGAGTTCGGTAACCCGGACACAACCCTCTAGCCACTCAACGCCGGCAACGCCGCAGATCATGACGATGACGACCCCGAAGGGCCCCGAGCATTCACAAGGGCACTCCGAACACTCCAGTGGCCCCGTGGTTTCAAAATCACCGGGGTCGAGCCCTACGAGGGGCGGATGAACCCCACACGGTGGCTACAAGCTTATACCACCGCCGTGCATGCCGTCGGGGGAGATACCAGTGTCATGGCAAACTATCTTCCCGTTATGCTCACGTCAACTGCAATGAGCTGCCTCACAAGCCTCGCCCCGGATTCCATCGGATCCTGGGAACAGCTGAAGAAGATCTTCACTGACAACTACATGGCTACGTGTACTTGGCCAGGCACCAAGCACGATCTGAATCGCATCTACCAGAAACCATCCGAGCTCCTCCATAGCTACATCAGTCGTTTTTCCGAGATGAGGAATTCTATTCCCAACATCACGGGTGCGGAAGTCATCACCGCCTTCGTCCGAGGACTCCATCACCGCGACCTCCGCTCCAAGTTCAATCGTAAGCCGCCAAAGGGGATTGGTGAGATAATCACTACCGTCGATTAGTACGCCGACACCGAAGAGGCCAAAGTACGCTTCAACAAGGATGCGGGCACTCACCACCCAACTCGCCGCATCGACGAGCGCCCCGACGACCGACGCCACAGTGACCGCCGCTACGACGACCGCGGCCACCGTCAGGACAGTGGCCGTGATCGGCCGAAAGGGTCCAGAACCGGTCAGTATCGCCGTCGTCGACCAGACAACATCGTCGCCGTCATTGATGAACCTCGCGCCAAGCGCAACTACGATGAGCAGTACAAAAAGATCCTCGAAGGCCCGTGCCCCCTCCACAAGAACAGCAAGCACAAGATGAAGGACTGCATCAGCTTGGCTAAGGAGTTCCAGGCCAAAAAGCCAGACGACGACAATGACGACGAACCAGAGGCCGCTGACCACCTAGGGACAACAACGCCTTTTAGGATCACGACAAAGTGGTCGCCACTATCTTCAGGGGCCTCGCCGCCGCCAAAAGCAGAAGAGATCGAAAGCTCACCGCCCGTCGGGTGCTCGCTGTCAACGCAGAAGACGCCATCGCCAATCCCAGCTATTGCCTCTGGTCTGAGGTCGCCATCACCTTCAGCAGAGCCGACCAGTGGGTGGACATCCCTTACATAGGGCGTTCCCCCTTGTTCTTGATACAACCGTCAGGAAAGTGCTTTTTCAGGAAGGTACTCGTCGACGGCGGAAGTGCTCTGAACCTCCTCTTCGCCGAAGCCCTAAAGGAGCTGGGCCTTGGAACAAAAGACCTCACACCCTCTGACTCTTCCTTCTGGGGTGTGGTACCTGGCAGGGCATCCAAACCGCTTGGAGAGATTACCCTCCCGGTACAATTCGGCACGGCTAGCAACTACCGCGTCGAGCACATCAACTTCTACGTCGCCGACTTCAACACCGCCTACCAGGCCATAATTGGTCGGCGAGCTCTGGCCAAGTTCAAGGTCATACCGCACTACGCCTATCTAGTGTTGAAGATGCCTTCCCCTGCAGGAGTTCTGGCCCTGCGGGCCAACCTCTCCATCGCCTACGCCTGCGAGACAGAGAGTTTTGCCCTCGCCGAAGTCACCGACCTCTCCATCCAGATGGCTAGCGTGGTCACCGACGCCAAGACGGTGCTCGTCGACGACCTAGAGATCCCAGCGCTGGAGCCTCCACGTGCCTCCGCCAAGTCCAAGGAAACGAAGGAGTTAGGCCTCGGCCTCGACGACCCCACCAAGATCGTCAAGATTGGGGCTCACCTCGACCCCAAATAGGAAAGCACGCTCGTCTCCTTCCTACGTGTCAACGTCGACGTGTTTGTTTGGAAACCTGCAGACATGCTGGGGGTACCACGGGAGAAGATCGAGCACTCCTTGAATGTCTCGCCGACCGCCAATTCGATCAAGTAGAAACTCCGATGATTCAAGCCAGACAAGGAGGCTATTAGGGTAGAAATAAAATGGCTCCTAGCTGTTGGATTTATTAAAGAAGTGTATTATCCTGAGTGGTTAGCAAACCCTGTTCTTGTTCAAAAAAAAAAGAATAAAGAATGGAGAATGTGCACTGATTACACCGATCTCAACAAACACTGCCCTAAAGACCCCTTCGGTCTGCCTCGGATAGACAAGGTTGTAGACTCCACCGCCGACTGCGAACTTCTCTCCTTCCTCGACTGTTACTCCGGCTATCACCAGATATCCCTCAAAGAGGACGACCAGATCAAAATGTCGTTCATCACGTCTTTTGGTGCGTATTACTATACCACCATGTCCTTCGGACTCAAGAACACCGGGGCGACTTACCAAAGGGCTATCTAGATGTGCCTTGATCAACAGAT